GGGGGCCGAGCGGTCGACGTCACCTGGCGGGAGCGGCGACGCTCCCGCCCACCGCTTCGGGCTTGTATCCCTGCAGGACAAGGCAACGCTCCTGTCGACTCTCACCACTCGCAGCCTCGTCGATAGGGGGAGAAAGGAGATCCCGAGTTCAGCCGGAGGACGTGAAGGAGCGGAGCCGTGGGGGCGAGAGCGGGAGGGCACAAAAACAGAAGGGCTGCGTGAAGAAGCGTGCGCCACCTTGCTTGCCTCCCCCGAGGACATTGATCGAACGATGAGGGATTTAAATCCCCCGGAAGTGGCACCGGACTTGCCACATTGCTATGAACGACTTGCGCGTACCCAACACTTATAGGGAGGCTGTGTCCTCTGAGTATGCTGACTTGTGGGTAGACTCTGTAGAGAGGGAGTTCAGAGGTCTGATGGAGGATGGTACCATTTAGGAAGTAAATGTAGCAACCAGCGAGTGTCATCAAGGCCAAGTGGGTGTTGGAAGTCTGATGAGTGTGGATGGCCGACTAGTGTGAAATCACGGCTAGTAGCGAGAGGAGATATGCAGCGAGTACACGTAGATTGTGGAGAGACGTATACACCGACTGTAGCGGTTTCTAGCACTCGCTTGTTGGCAGCGATGGCGTGTGAGAAAATCTTTCTATTCGTCATTTCGACATCAAGCAAGCATTTGCCCAGTCGGATTTGGATGAGGATGTTTTCATGCGTCTGCTAGAGGGATGTGGTAGATTGTCAGGCATGATAGTGAAGTTGAACAAGAGTCTGTATGGCCTTAAGCAGGCATCAAGGCAATGGCATTCACACTTGGTGAGGTGTTTGATTTGTTTGGGTTTTATTCAGTGTCTGGCGGATACGTGTGTGTTTCGGTTGATCGAGGAGGGAAGAGTGGTAGTGACTGTGGTAGTACATGTGGATGACATATTTTCGATTGGAGAGGTGGAGAGGTGTGACCACTTTGGTAGGGACCTCAACACCATGGTACCGGTGAAGAATCTTGGTGACTTCAGATGATACTCTGGATGTTTTTATGAGAGGGGTTGGGATGCAGGGACTTTGAAGATCTCGCAGCAGACGTACACTGAAGAGTTGGGGATGGAGTTTGGGGTAGAGTACGGGAAGGAAATTCCTCTTCCTGTAGGGTTGAAGCTTTCAGAGTTTGACCAGGATGAGGAAGTGGTATCATGGCCTTTTCGTGAGCTGATAGGATCATTGATGTGGCTGGCAACGCAAACGAGGCCAGATATCGCGAATGCAGGCAGTAAGAGCGGTAGCACGGTACTGTGCTTCTCCCAAAGAAATTCATTGGAGAGCAGCAGGTCTTGGTATTTTGGGGTATGTGGTAAGGAATAGTGACTTGGGGATTAGGGGTAGGGTTAGGGTTAGGGTTAGGGTTACATTCTGGAGGGGTAGTGTAGCAGGGTTGAGCATGGAGATGTTCGCAGATGCAGACTATGCAAGGAAGGCTGCCGATAGGAGGTCTGTGTCAGGAGGCTTGGTGATGTGTGGGGGGGGATGTATTTCTTGGTTTTCAAGGACCCAGAAGTGCGTTACGTTGAGCACGACAGAGGCGGAGTATGTCTCTCTTGCGGATGTGATGAAGGAAGTGTTGTTTCTGAGGCAGGTATGGCGTTTTACGTTGCCAGAAGCAGGTATGCCGTGTA